ACTTTTTTTAAAGCTAATGAACCTAGTGAAGGACTTGTTTTGCAGTTTTTTGCTCCAAACTATGACAGAAATTGGACTAAATTGGTAAATAAAACAGCGTGATTGGCTGTAGGGAAAATGGAGTCAGAGGACACTCTATGTAATGCGTATTACTGAGGGTGCGTATTAGTATGCTGAGCTGGAAAAAAAAAAAAAGTTTGACATTCTGGCATCCGAGCGTCGGATGCTGGAGTTCAGCACAATGAACTTTAGGCGCTGGACGGCGGAGCATCAACCAATTCTGAATCCAGGAGAAAAGCTGAATCCAGGAGATTTTTGGGGAGACAGACAGACACTACCTGCAAGCTGTCATTGCTTCTGCAGACATTCTGCATGTGAAAAATAAGTAAATATCAAGGAGTTAAACTCCAAATGTTAAATAAAAGCCAGGAGAATGGATTGTTATGTAGAAGGAGCGCAGCTCTGATGATTATTGCTATGCTTTGTTTTATTTGCTGTGATGAGCGGGAAAGAGGTCAAAGGTCCTGCTCCAATGTGATCCACGCACTCAGCTCGTCAGGATTGTGACCTCACTCTGTGAGGCTAACAGGCTAACGGCTGCATCAAACCAGCAAGGCTCTCAGTGATTCTCACTGCTGTTTGTTGCAGCTTTAAGAGAAGAAAAGTGTTTTTTTCTTAGGAGGCAAAAAGCTGGAAGTATCACAATATGAAATAAAAATTTGTTTGAGGAGCAAAGGATAAGGATAGAGCCTCTTGAGTCATGTCCACCAAACGCTCTGCATGTAAACCCTGATTCTGGAACCGTGATCGGTCTGAACGCAGCATTGCATAGATATTCTCCAACCGCTCGTTTTCACAGGTCAGGGTGCAGCAGAACTCTGGTCCCCTATTTATTTTAGGCGTATAAATAGAGTATTCATAACGAGTCCAGAACTTCTGTCCAATGGCAGCCTGACTTATGCAGAACACATGGCAGCATAATGAACAAGCCAGTGTCCTGAAGGGGGCAGCGATGCGCCTGAAGGCGTAAAGATAAAAAGATGTCTTTGATTGCGGGATTAACCTAGCTGTTGTTTACCACCTGCCCCCAAAAAAGAATAAAAAGGAAAAAGAAAGAAAGAAGGTTTTTGGTGGTCAATACTTTAATCCCTGCGCTACTTATGAGTAACTATAACGTTAAGTTATAAAATAACAACGTACGTCAATGATCAGATAACTTACCTGTAACTTATGGCCCACGTACGACATACGCTGGCATACTGCGGTATGTACTCCCCGTATGTTGACATGTTTCAGCGTACTCATAACTTATCCAACGTATGCTAGCGTTTTTGACAAATTTTTCGTATGTCAGGCATAAGCTGGTCTGAATCGTCAAGGTGTGACAGCGGCTTCTGGAGGATTAATAAGGGATGCATGAATCAAACAATCTGCCAATATTTGCCTGATTTTGATGGAGTCACATTAAAAACATGGTTAACAGCTGATAAAGTTCATTTTGCAGGATATAGAACCTTTAAATCAACACTGTGTAATTTTCGCCACTAGGGGCTCTAAACCATTGTAGGTACCAGATCTGCTCAGTTTCTTAAGAATTGAATTTCATCGGCGATCTAAAGTAGCTGAAAGTAGAAAACAATCATTGTCAGACTTGAAGTAAAGTACTGCCTTCTAAGACAGACTGAGCTCTGACATTTAACAAGGTGACAAAAAAAGTCTCAGTTTATTTTTATTCTTTTATTAAGATCTGAGGTCAGAGGAGGACAAATGGAACATCTTAAAAAATGACTTTCATAGAGATTTTAGAAAAATAAAACAGTTATTCTACTTGTAGAAAACGAATGGTTGTTGTTGATACAAATTCAAAAGTAGTGTAGCTTAATATGGCTAACTGACTGAGCTAAAAGAGGCTAACCTGTTAGCTACAGCTAGCCGCAGCGCTACCCAGCTCTCGCCCTTTATATCGTGGTCTAACAGTTACTTTGTTCACCAGAAACAGATTTTATTCAGTTTTGTTATCGATCAGGTTAAACTTCATCGGTCATTAGACACGCTAACGCTACAGATGCTCCCGATTCAGCACACGGACACGCTGCGTGATGTCATCCCAAGTTCCAAAAGCTGGGACATGCTTATCGAACCCCACTCCTAGGGTTGCCAACTGTCCCTTGAAAAACGGAATTGTTCTGTATTCAGAAATAGAAGTACCTGACCCGTATTTGGTGGAAAAGGAACGCACTTTGGCCCGCATTACTGTGAGAATAACGAAATTGTCAGTAAAAAGCTAATGGAAAATGAAGAACAAGGGCACGTTAGATACAGAACTTACGGTAAACTTGTTCCTGTCCCTGTCCTTCATTGTGACCAATGAGCTGACAGCATATATGTAACAATCCAGAATCCCCTCATTCTATTGGTCGAGCCAAGTGTTGCTCACAAAGAAGATAGCGAGAAACAACAGAGCATCACGGAGGACGAACGGTTAAATGCTGACGCTGCTTTTAGGGGCGGAAAACTCCTCACTGCTGCAAGAGCTCAGAGGAAATTCACGACGAAAAAGTCGGCTATGGCCACATTATGTGGCATTAAGCTAATGATTTTATTTCTGTTTTCCAACTGTAGCCTACAGTCATTGCATTTAAGGCACAAATATGTTTACAAGTTTGCTGTTGCACCAAAAATGTGCAGTATTTATTTATTGTTTTATATTCATTTTTACAGTTTGAAGTTAAGCAGGACAGGCTTATGTTTAAGATACTTATTTTATTCAGCAAAGTTTGTTCTTTTGTATTAAAATGAATTGCTGGATAATCATTTATTTTCTGTATTCATGTCGCTCACTAATATGCATCTAATTCAAGGCAGATTTTAGTCAAATATTTAAAAAAACATTTCTCACACAAAGGGGAACAAAAAAAATGGCAGGAGGGGTGAAGGCAATCGGGTCAGCTGTCACGCACATGAGATGTCCTTTTTTTCCGACAGTAAACCCGACAAATAAGATTTCCTGATTAGTCAAACTGATGCTAAAATACAACTTCCCATGATGCTCCACATTCCTCATTTTAGGGAAGAAAGGGCTTCTTGGAAGAGTTGACATAAAATACAACTTGATTCTCGTGATTTAACGACTTTATTCTCTTAATATTACGACTTTTTTCTCCTAATTTTACGACTTTATTCTCCTAATGTTACGACTTTGTTCTCCTAATGTTACGACTTTGTTCTCCTAATGTTACGACTTTTTTCTCCTAATGTTACGACTTTGTTCTCCTAATGTTACGACTTTGTTCTCCTAATGTTACGACTTTGTTCTCCTAATGTTAC